TGGACCGAGCTGGCTCAGGGTGTCTTGGACCGAGCTGGCTCAGGGTGTCATGGGCCAAGGTGACCAGAATGTATATCGGTCCAGGACTGAGGCATTTTGTGAAAGAAGCTTCAGACTCTGGAATTTTAAGGTTGTGTCTTCCTCGTGCGGGTAATCTAAAACCTTTGCCAACTGATAGGAAATAAATATTTGAGTCCAGTGAGATGTTTTATGGGAGGGTGTCACATTTTACTTAATTTATGTTCACTTTAGGAGAGGCTTTTCAGTTCTTTTTCTTTTGATGTTGTATCAAGCTGAAGCCAAATTGCAGCAAAGATGCCTTTTTAATTGTATTGTTTTGGTAATATATTGTAATGATGCTTAAGGAGTTGTTTTTACATGTTAATGTTGCACTGGTGTTCTGTTTGTGCCACATGGGTTGTTAAGTCATGAGTATGGGTTGTGGCAATTCTTCTTCTTCACCTGTTTTATTCTTGGGTTACCTGACAGAGAGAGGCCCAGTTCTGTCGTGGGTCACGGCTGAACAGTGACTTGGCGCTAGCTGACCTCTAATTATTGTGCCTGAATTAATTGTGGGCAAGAGCAAAACGTCTGATGCTTGAGTGACTGCGCAAATGTTACAATATTCTAAAGAGATACGTTTTTAAAGTTGATCAAAATTTCTCTTTGACAAACGAGCCTTTTATTCAACCTTCATTTATACAGCTTAGTCTCATCGAGCCTGGAGGACTCATTTACAAGAGAAACCTGACAAAGAACACAGATGAGGTACAGACAATCATATAAAAGCATATAAAATGAAAAGCAAATAGAAGAAATGTACCGTTAATAAAAACTAAACAAGAACAGCTACATTATAAATACTAAAAACAGGAACATGTGTGCAGGCAGCACGGTGGCGCAACTGGTAGAGCTGCTGCCTCTCAGCGAGCAGGTCCCTGGTTCAAACCCCGGTCCAGGGGCCTTTCTGGGTGGAGTTTGCATGTTCTCTCCGTGCATGCGTGGGTTTTCTCCGGGTACTCCGGTTTCCTCCCACAGACCAAAAACATGCATGTTAGGCTGATTGGTAACTCTAAATTGTCCCTAGGTGTGAGTGAGAGAGTGAATGGTTGTTTGTCTCGTTTGTCTCTATGTGTCCCTGTGATGGACTTGCGACCCGTCCAGGGTGTCCCCCGCCCCTCGCACAGTGATTGCTGGACATGGGCACCAGCGACCCCCGTGACCCAAAATGGAATAAACGGGTAAAGATAATGGATGGATGGATGGAACATGTGTGCGTTGGTTTTTGCCAGGAACTCAGCAGATAAAATCCCGTCAAGGTCGAGAGCTTGAGATCTTTATGCAAGGTGTTGCAAGAAACAGGAGTGGAGTGGGAGAAGGTCTGTTTGTCTAGTTCAGTCCTCACAGAGAGAACACTGCAGGTAATAATGTCCTGAGAGCGCACGCTGTAGCTGCACTCACATAGTGCCATAGCAACAGACCAAGAAGTGATTTAAAGATGAAAATGTACCAGTGACAGTAAACCCTGTGGGCTTTACCAGTGGATAAACCTGTAGACCATTACTACTGACATGGAGCTTCTCTTCTTTTGCATTTTCTTCTACAAGTTATTGTCTGTAAAAAGAAACAAACAGAATTTACAGTTTGTTTTTGTGATCTATGAAACATAATACAAAATGCATTTTTGACAATCCAGAAGCTCACGTGACTCTAGAACAAAATAAAAATAAATACCATGTCAGGTGATGTTTTTGTTGAAAAACACAACGCATCGGCTTCAGTTGTGTATTGGTGTTGTGACTATTTGCACTGGTTTAACGTTTGTTTATTCTGTAACTATTTACAAACAACGAGCCTCCGGGTTTGGACGAGACGCGCTGGAATGTGTTCTCGGTGCGGCGCTGGAATGCTTTGGCCACGCCCCTTGCTCTTATTGACCAATCAGAGAGCCGAGACAGTTTCAAAGCGCCCGCAACGTCCCATCCGTGGAAAAACAAAACCGTGAATAACACGAAAACTCGCAGTTCACAGCGAACTACCGCCACGAATCTGCGCGTCTGGGTCACATTTTGCGCGTCCACTCGATCACCGGGGGCTTTCGCCGCTCTTTGTGGGCTTTCGGGCGATGTTGTTTATCTGTAGTAAGGGGGGGCTTGAAACCGCCATCCCTTGCCCCATTTCCTCGGTTGTTTTCCTTCTCTCGGATTCTCCATGTTGTTGCTGAAAGTGAGGACTTCACCGCGACTGCAGAGGCGGGCTGTTCGGCGGGACCACCTGTAAATAGAAGCGGCGAGGCCGAGTCGACGTGGAGTCCGAGAACCTCCAGAAAATAAGATCCAAGTGCCTTGCCCCCTCCCCAGGCGGCGGACCCACGGAAAAAGAGGAATAAAGAAGCCCGGAGGTTCGAGTCCTGCGCTCACCGAGAGGACCGACACGGAGGCGGGCGACACGCAAACCTCGGTACTGAAGCGGGCCTGTCAACAGAACCCAATGAGGGATGCCCAGTGCGCGGGGGCAGGATTTGAGGATTTTGAGGGCTCCGTGATTGTCAGATGGAAAGTTCTGTTATCACCCAAGTGCAGAAAGAAGACGTCCAAGTGTCTCCGAGAACAGGTAGAGCCGCTGCGTGTGCGCGCGTTTCTGCTGGACGCGTTTCTGTGTGGACATGTTTGTGTGTGGACATGTTTGTGTGTGGACATGTTTCTGCGTGGACATGTTTCTGCGTGGACATGTTTGTGTGTGGGAAGGTTCCTGTTTATTGGGGGGGGGGGGGGGCTGCGGACTCTGACAGTCTGAAAACAGCCGCCGCTTTTCTGTTGCGCAGAAGCTGCGAGGAGAGTTGTTGTTGTTTGTTTGTTTGTTTGTTTGTTTGTTCATGAATGTTTAACTCCCACTCAAACCGTTCAGGACATGTCTCTCCACGCAGCTCCCTCTCGAAGTGAAAATGTTTGTCTGCGTTGAATATTTCCGAGTTGTCCCTGACGCTCCGAGCGATCTATTGTTGATTGGGGGGGGGGGGGCTGTGCCACCCCTCGTCCCCCTCCTCCCACGCTGCTGCTCAGAATCAGCAGGTACACCTGGACACCCGCCTGGTGGAGCAGGAGTGAGCAGAGTGCCACATGTTCACCCCTCCAGCTTCTCCATGGACATGAAGGAACTGTGAGTTCCTGACAGCACAACGCACTCCGTGCACACTCCGTGCACACGCCCAGTGGAGCGCCATTTCAAAGCTGGACCTGTTTGCACACTTTGTTCACTTCTACCTCCTGACTGTTCCTGTGGGCCTTGAAACAGAAACGTGAGCTGCAGAGCTGCAGATTCTGGATTCATGCTTCACTCTGGTGTTTTCTTCCATGTTTATGTTTTAAACAGTAAAAGAAAATCTTGTCTCTTAGAGGCTGGTGTCCTTTGTCTCCTGAACCGAGTTGTGTAACATGTTTTTGTGTGTGCAGCAGCAGGCTCATGAAGCTGCAGGTTGTACGCTGCCTGATCCTGTGTCCACTTGTCTTTCTCCTGTCCCTCAGTGTCCACATGTCTTTCTCCTGTCCCT